GTTTAAAATCATTCCTCATAGTGATTAACCAGTAGCGAGTGAGATAGTGTGACTCAATGATTAAGCGATTTATTTTACAAATACTCTTTCCAGTCACATTGAAAGAGCTTTATTTTCTCTAAAGGCTGAATAATCACATAGCACTTCCAGTCCATATAGCATACGTAGCAGACGTTCCCAGCGGTTCGATTCTCTCTGCGGGAGAAAATCGAACTGCTTGGAACGTCTGCTACGGAGGCTACAGTCCATAGCCTTACACTCTTGTCGGTGCGCTTTCCGAACTACCATTTAAACGCTCTACCATTTAAGCAAACTCTGAGAGCCTGTGGAACACCACGTTAAATGGTAGAGCAATAAAATAACATTCGTTCTTGTCCTGTTCGGAAAGCGCACCAACAGAGGAGGAGGCTACTGGAAGTGCTATGTGATTACGGCGATGAATTTTCGATAAATTGGCTCAAATCCAAAGTGAAGAAAGAAAGAWGGCCATTTAAACACATAATTCAGCTCCATGTATAGTTAGTGTTATCATTCTCAAGCTTGTTTAACTGACAACTTATTATTAATCGTAAAAATAGATCAAATAAAAGTTATTGGATTAAAGTGTCCAACTAACTCCTCCCACAAAACCGAACCAAGTCCGAAAGTCCGCCATCTCGAACATCTCCAATTTTCCTGTATATCGTCAAGATTTTGTGCACAAATGTCTATCCAACAGGCAGTACTTGGAAGAAGGTTTTGGGGAATGTGGCCGACATTCATGAAAACAATTCTCCATCGAAGATCAGAGCTAAACTCACGAGGCAAGAAACAAACAACATGGCGGACTTTCGGAATTGGTTCGGTTTTGTGGGAGGAGTCACGAAAGCAGTTCGTTTACTTCGGAATTTTGATTGACGGGAGCACAAACAGCAAATGACCGCTAACGTTCGCAGTGCTAGAGTTCGCAGAAAACGGAAAACCGCAGTAAGTAGTTCCCATCTCAACTACGAGCTCGTGATATCGTTACTATTCAAGTTGTTCTTAATTGTCTTAATATTTTTTGAGTTCCGTAATGAATTCCTTGTTGTCTAATAGTGAGTTATTAAATTTCCAAAAAGATGGACCTGTTTTTCCTTCCTTGAAAGATTTAAGCTCCATTGTGATAGCTGAGTGATCCGTAGATGGGGCTGGTATAATCCCACACTTTCCGACAAAGGGTTGGATTTCATCAGACACTAGAACATAATCAAGTCTACGATACTAAATTTGACCTCGTTTACTTTTTTTACCTTGGCCCACTCCCCTCCACATATATATATCTCTTCAAATCCTGGTTGCGTAACCTCCAGATGTCACATAGGTCGTATTCTTGCATGATTGCTTCTAAGGTTTCCGTTGATTTAACTTTTTTAATGGGATTTCCCACCATGTGCTTCTAATTCGATATCAAAATATAGATTAAAAACACCTCCCCATATAATATAAGTTTCTATTGGAAAGTCCATCGAATTAATTTTGCAAATAATTCCATTCATTAATATTACTTGGTCCTTTTCTACGTTTGGCACATATGAGTTTATTAAGAGAAAATTACTATTTTGAACTTCAGCGAGCACTATAACGTATCTACCATAATCGTGTAATATTTCTTCTTTG